TATATATAAAATTCAGCCTTTGGGGTGAGAGAGTGTGGCTCAGTGGTAGAGCTCTTGCCTAGCACATGAGAGCCCTGGATTCAATCCTCAGCACTACAGAGGTGAAATCCAGCTTTAAAAACACAAATACAGGGCCAGGGATCTAGCTCAGTGGTTCCGCCACTTGCCTCTCAAGCTCAAGAACCTGAGTTCGATCCCTGGTACCCCCCCAAAAAATAACCCCACAAATATAAACTTGCAGCTCTGTTTGTGGTAGCCAAAATGAACTACAGCTATCATATAAATTTTGGTTTTGTTTTGTCAGGTTCTCACTATGTAGCCCAGGCTGACCTCAAACTCCTGATCCTCCTGCCTCAGCCTTCTGAATGGTGGGATTACAAGTGTATGCCACCATGCCCGGCTTGCTATAATAATTATAATGTTCACATCAGTTTGGGTCTCTCCAGAATTTCTTATCTCTATAACCTGGTAATTGTTGGAAGGGGCTTCAAAGTCTTATAGACCAATTTTCTATCCAACACAATTCCCCTGCACAGCACCCCAGAGGAGGGAGCATTCAATTTTCCTTGGGTAGCTCCAGTGATGGGAAACTTGCCACTAAGACTAGCATCCCTATCCCAGGTTCACTTTGCCTCCTTGAAATTTTCAGTCTTGTTCATGCTCTTTTCCCTACCTTCAAAAGGAATGTCTGCTCTTCCATGTGACAGCCCTTCAAATCACAGGATGTGATTAGGATGGGATTCCTGTCTCCAGCAAGCCTAGCTCATTAGCTGTCACAGCCTCCAGCTATGATGAGCCCTCCCACCAGAACTAAGTCGGACCAGCTGCCTCCCCTGCGCGCCAGCAACTTCGAGGTTGGGGGAGGGGTGGGGCAGAGCCTCAAAAGGCCACAGACTGAGCTGATATCACTGCATGTTGAGCCTGCATCGTTAAATTCTGGGAACTAGTAAGAACATGTTACTTGTACCCCAAATTATAAGGACTCCTGATGTCACACGGATGCCCTTCACTTTACCCGAATCTCTCCACTTACCTGACAAGCTTTTACTCATTCTTCACTCACCAGATCATGTCACCTCTTCTAGATTCCCCTAAAGTCTTATGTGAGATTAGCCACTCCTTTCGTCATGCCCTGATAGAGCCTCCTACACAAACTCCTTTGTCAAAGCTCTTACACATTCTGTAGTGATTGTCATGTCCTTCACACCTGATTCCCCAGTACCTCGCGTTACCCTTCCCCAATGCTTTTGTCCTCACAGTACTTCCAAAGCACGAACCCTGCCAGCTGTGGATAGACTATTAGAATGTTCTTTTTCCTACTGGGCCCAAGTCTCTCCCTAGGGATAATTTTATTTGTAGCTGTGCTGTTTGTCATTAGACCGAGTTCCCTGAGAGATAAATGCCTCCGCTGGTCCTAGCTCCATTTATACAGAAACAAATGCCACTTCAGCTGCTGCTGCTGTTGCTGTCACCACCGCCACAGCTGCCACCAACACCACAACGTTGTACTTTCAGGATACTCTCAAGAAAGCATCTTTACGGCTGGGGATTTAGCTCAGTGTTTTTGCTGCCTGCTGCACAAGCGCAAGGACCTGAGTTCAATCCCTGGCACCAAAAAAAAAAAAAAAAAAGAAAAAAGAAAGCATCTTTATGGCCCCATTACATCATCTCTCTGGTGCTTTCTGCCCTGCGTGTCTCCAGGGAACAAGGCAGTCCAGTTTGTTTAATGCCACATGATCTGCTGCACTCGTATCACATTTTATGGCCTTAATTTAATTTACCATAGATATTGTGATATGGCTCTGTTTTTCTGAAAAACAGGTCACCTCTTATATTCATTATTTGGTAATCAGCCTTCTTCTAGTTGACAAGGGCTAGAACTTTTAACCTCTCTTTCCTAGAAATGAATAATATCTC